CTTGTGACCCAGCCAGTCCCTCCATGGCAGGTTGAGCTGGGTAAGAGCAAGCCCAGCTTGGCAGGCTGACCCCTGGGGCCCCCTGCTTGCCAGAGCTGCTCCACTCCGGTTCAGCCTGTTGTGTTCAATACTGACAAATGCAGGTACTGCACTTGGGCAGTAAGAACCAGCAGCATACCTATAGGCTGAGGAACACCCTTCTCAAAAGCACAGTTGCAGAAAGAGATCTTGGAGTCTGTCACGGGGCGGGGACCCCGGAGCAGTCGTGATCTCCCCTGGCGCCCCTACCGTGCCAAGTTGCCTGGCTAGCACCCTCGTTCTCGCCCACCACAACTTTGATGGTTCTGTAATATTAATGGGAGGCTACCTTTACTTGACCCCTTGGACCGGGTTCTCTTGCCCTTCTGGTCCTTGCTCTATACGAATAGGTTCTGGTGCCCCCTCAACCCTATGGGCATCGCGTGGCTCCTTCCACCCCAATACCACGCCCCAAGCCTCTCAGCTGTTCCAGACGTTAGCTGGTCCTACGTTCCTTCCTTAGGGCCCTGTCTGCGGCCCCTACTCTTGTGTACGCGCCCTCTCCGGGGCTTCTCTCATATGTGCTCTCTCCAGGGCTTCTCTCGTGTATGCGCCCTCTCTCTGGGGCCTCCCAATAGGCTCACCCCCTCTTCTGGGGCTTCTCCCCTACAGGCAGTGCCCCAACTGGGGCCTGTCCCCTCTGGCACTCACGTGCTCTCGCCCGCACTGGGGCTTCGTCTCCCGCGCTTCCCGCGGTCGCATTGCCCACACTGGGACTTCGTCTCCTGCGCTTCCCGCGGTTGGGGCTCAGGTGGCCTTAGCCGTGCCTGGCCCCCTGACCCTCCTCAGGGGTCTTACGCCTGACTTGGGCACCTCACAATCGGGCTCAGGCTGTCTCCACCTTATCTGGCCCTCAAGACCCCTTTCGTGGGACTGGGGTCAGTACCCCTTGAACATTATGCCCTCACTTGGCTTCTTGCTTGGACGCCCCTCCCTGGGGCTCACTGCAATGCTCTCGCCCTCCCTGGGGCTCACTGCAATGCTCTCGCCCTTCTGCAGTTGCACCCCCAACCGGGGCCTGTGCTCACGCTCCTGCGCCCAGGGCCTTGCCCGGGCTTCTCGCACCCTTCCCCCGCTGGGCTTATCCCGATAATCGCCCACACTGGGGCCAGGGTCGGGACACCCCAACTAGCTCCTCCTGGAGTCGCCCCCACTGGGCTGGGGTCGGGACACCCCACTAGCTCTTCCCGAAGTCGCCCCACTGGGCTGGGGTTGGGACACCCCCACATGCAGCGCCACTCTCCAGCACCAAACCGCGGTGCCCTCTCTGGCATCCAGTGGCTGTGCCCTCCCAGGGCACCAGGAACCCCCACACTACTGGGGAGCTCCCCTGAGGCCTCCTCCAACCCCTACAGCCTCACCCAGTCCTCCGGCGTCACTCTCTGGGGCTTCTCGCTGCCCCCTACCAAAATTGCACCCTCTGCGGCGCCAGGAACCCCCCCACGCTACTGCGGGGTCCCTATGAGGCCTCCTCCACCCCTTATAGCCTCACCCGGTCCTCTGGTGTAACCCCTTATAGCCTCACCCGGTCCTCTGATTGCCTTCTACGATCAGGTCACAAAGGCCATGGATGCAGGTGTTGCGGTGGATGTAGTCTTTCTGGACTTCAGCAAGGCCTTTGACACCGTCTCTCACCCCATCCTAGTTAAAAAACTAGGTGACTGTGGCATACATGCCTACACAGTCAGATGGATTGCAGATTGGCTGAGGGGTCGCACTCAGAGGGTGGTGGTGGATGGGTCATACTCGACCTGGGGGGAGGTGGGTAGCGGAGTCCCCCAGGGCTCGGTCCTGGGGCCTGCGCTGTTCAATTTCTTCATCAGCGATCTAGATGATGGG